AAACCAAGCAGGTGGTTAGAACAAAGTGAGATATGGCTTTCCTGTGGTGCCACCCTCTAACATGAAATGTCCCCGGTGTAGACTTTGGTTTCCTCTTGTTACACTGGAGGATCTTATTGGAGGCCTTATGCAGCTTTTGATTAAATAATCTTCCAAACGCACACACAGCCGATATAACAGGCACATCACTGACCAAAAGTGAGACGGACTGTGTGAAATGACGTAGTCAGATGGGTTAAGCACTTCAGAGGACTTGCATGTCCTGTCTTCCTAATATTAATTACTCCAATTTCCTGGGCTTTTTCTATCACGTTAAGTTTTATTTTGGCTTGGAGTGCTATCTGAACCCAGAGTCGATTCTGTGAAGTTATAATTGTAGCTAATCTGTTCAATCTCACAAGTGAACCAGTCCTCAGAGGCGTGCAATCTACAATACGTCATGACTTAATACATGGCAAACCTGTCATGGCTTCCATTACTTTATCCTAAACTAAATAAAATGTGACTTTCTTTGTCTTTTTCTTTCCATGTTCACAAAGAAAAGAGCAAGGCACCATCCATCCACATCTACCCTCCCATCCCTGGCAATTCACTTATCGTCACCTGCTTCGTTCGAGGCTTTTCCTCAAATATTATTGATATCCAGTGGCTAAAGAATGGCAATCCCATTCCAGAAGATGACTACGTCAACACCCCAGCTGTGAAAGAAAAGAGGGATGAGTCCTTCTTCCTCTATAGCAAATTGACAATCTCTCAACCGGAATGGCGTGACAGAAACATATTCAGCTGTATGGTTGTCCATGAGGCCCTTAATGACAGGTTCACCCAGAGGAGCATCGCAAAAACATCGGGTAAACGTTGAAGACTCCCCTCAACAGGCATTGTCCTCCTAGATTTGACTCTCACGGTGTTTGATCCAAATTCTTGTAAATAGTTTACATGCCAATGTGTTTTGCTGCTAGCTAAATAAAAGCATCCCAATTCAGAGGAGTCTTAGGTTATGCTCTCTTTTGTTCAACCAAATTGGGGGCTGAGCAAAGTTGAGAGACGATTTCTGGAATCAAGAGGGAAAGGACTACTTTCTCTGGACATTAGAACAAAGGATCAGAGTTGAGGCTGGGAGAAAAAGTGCTTTCATTCTTCTGGGCGCATTTCATTTAATTATCATTATTTACAATTTCCCATTAAATTTCTCTATCACTCTTGGTCCCTTCATCCTAAATCCTTCAACTAGGCACCACCCAATCAGACCTGAATGGGAAGTTCTTGGAGGTAATAAGTAATCTTTCTAACGTCCTTGCAGTTGATCTCATAACTTCTATATCCACTGGGAGTTATCATGGCAGGCTAAACCCTAGGCAGTTTACAACCTTGCAATAAAACAATATATAAAATGAAGAAAAGGCAACAAAATTAAACCCATTTACTGGAATGCCACATCAAAGGAATACTAAATCTAAGAAACATTAATGAATCACATAATGCAAAAAAATACACACAAAATATACTAGGCGGTCCTAGCTGAGGTATCTCCCTCCATTTTGCTTCACCTTAAATAGGTCATTAAGAAACTACATAAAGACACTACATAACATGGTAGAAGCTAAATAGTGATCCAAGAACCAAATTAAATGGTGATCCTGACCTTGCTTTTTTCACATTTTTTTAAAACTTAATCGTTAGGAGGAATAGAATGTTTTGACAAGTCCATTGCACATTCATCTAAGCTTCCTCTTTGCTCTTCACTGTCTTATTTGAACCGTAAAAGGAAGGACCATATTCTCAAATTATTCAGTGGACTTCTCACATATGGTAGCATGAAGGACTAACAGAATAACAGACTTGAAAGGGACGTTGGAGATCTTCTAGACCAACCCCCTGCTCAAGTAGGAGACCCTATACCATTTCAGATAAATGCTTGTCCAATCTCTTCTTAAAAATCTCCAGGGTTGGAGCATCCACAACTTCTGAAGGCAAGTCGTTCCACTGGTTAATTGTTCTAACCGTCAGGAAGTTTCTCCTTAGTTCTAGGTTGCTTTTCTCCTTGATTAGTTTCCATCTGTTGCTTCTTGTCCTGCCTTCAGTTGCTTTGGAGAACAGATTTCTCCCCTTGGGTAGCTTGACAATATTTGGACTTCAGTTCCCAGCGGCTGACTCGAGAAACACTAACATACACAATACACAAACTTTGACCTAATCAGGATCTTTATTTTCATAATATAAATTAGATGGAAGAAAACAAATGCTCTTCTAACCATGCGATCGAGACTCAACCCCCCCCCCCAAAAAAACCAATCAAAACCAAAATAAAACCTTTAAGACCAATTGCCTCAAAGATTACATAAGCTTTATTCAGACAAACATCAGAAAATTCTCTAAACCTCTCTGACATTTCAAGTGTTATTCCTCAAAATCAAGAAACCGCAAAACTGATTTCTAAGCACATTATAACCAACACCCATAATTTTGGAAAACAAACATTAAGACTTCTCAAACAGTGCAAATTAATTTAAAAGTATCTGTATTTGTCCGATTCCATAAAATAATCTCACTCCCCAACCTTTCTTAGAATCTGCTCTGACAGCGGAGGAGCAGCACAGAAGAAACATGGAAACAAAGAAGAATGCCAAACAATGGAAACTTTACGATACACATGCCAAATATTTTTGGAATTTTGGCATTCAGATTTTGAATTTGATGAAGATGCTTCTAGTATGGCTTACAACAGTTTGTTTGGTGACCGTACAAAGTTACAACGGCACTGACTTATGATCGTTTTTTCAAAGTTACGACTGTTGCAGCATCCCCGTGATCAAGTGATCAAAATTCGGATGATTAGCAACTGGTTCATATTTATCACGGTTGCCGTGTCCTGGGATCACGTGATCTCCCTTTTGCGACCTTCTAACAATCAAAGACAATGAGGAAGCCGGATTCACTTAACTTAACACTTGTTAAGTCATGGTGATCATTAAGCCGATCAATTTTATGATCTTTTTACAATAGTCATTAAGTTAAAAACACAGTCATTAAGCAAATCCATATTCCCCAATGGGCGTTTTTTGCTCTAAACCACAAGTTAACCCCAGATTCTGGCAAAAGAATTGCTGAAAATCGTGTTCACATGTTCATGGGCCATTGCAAATGGGCGTAAATGCGGGCTGGTTGCCATTCACCCAAAATGCGCTCATGTAATCACAGGACAGGGCCAGATACAGGGACTTCTAAATTGGGTAATACGTACCTTTTACAAGGTCCGTTCTGACTTTGAATGTGGCTAAGCCACTGGTCGTAAGCCGGGGACTATTCGTAGACAACTTTTCCAGATTTACTTTAATAGCACGATATCAAGTTATATAAATTGATGGAGAAGAATTCAGATTGACTAGAGAGGAAGACGATATACTCTAAGTAATTCTTCCTGCTCTGGTGTGCAAGAAAGAACTGAAATAACAGAACAGAACAGAACAGAGCAGAGCAGAACAAAACAGAACAGAAGAGAACAGAACAGGAGCTGGAAGGGATATTGGAGGTCTTTTAGTCCAGCCCCCTGCTCAAGCATAACCCATAACCCAAACACATACCATTTCAGATAAGTGACTGTCCAGTCTCTTCTTTAAAACCTCCAGTGATGGAACACCCACAATTTCTGATGCCAGAAATTGTGGGTGTTCTAGTTCACGACTCGGCGGAAAATCAGGCGGCGGCTTGGGAAGCAGCCGCTGCCGCGGCACTGGACCGAGTCGTGCCTTTGCGGCCTCTGACCCGGCGTAGATCTCAACTGGCTCCTTGGTTTACGGAGGAGCTAAGAGAAATGAAATGCCGGAAAAGACGCCTAGAGAGCAGTTGGAGGACTAGCCGAACCGAATCCGACCGAGCACAGGTAAGAGTTCATATTAGATCCTACCTTGTGGCAATGAGGGTGGTGAGGTCTAATTACTATTCCACCCTCATTGCGTCATCAGATAACCGCCCGGCCTCCCTCTTCAGGGTGACCCGCTCTCTCCTTCAATTGGGGGA